CAGGGGCCACCTCGCCACCCTCCTTGCCCACCTAGGGGCCGCCGAGGCCGCCGCCACCGGCCCCGTGTCCTCCAGCGAGGTTGTCCCCGCGGGCTGGAACCTCTGCACCATCGTCGGGGTGTTGCTGGGCTACCCGGCGGCGTACACCTTCTCCGTGGAGGAGAGCGCCGAGAACTGCCTGGCGCTGACACCGCTGAGGGTGTTCACAGTCCAGGCCTCCTGCCCCAGGATAAGGGATGGTCTCAGGGTCCAGATCTACTCCTTCAGCATCCCGGAGAGCCTCTGCGCGGAGCTGAAGGAGGTGCCGGACGCCTGGTGCGATGAGCTGAAGGAGGCCTTCAGTGTGCAGAATGACTTTGTAGATCTCTGCATTTTGAGCGAGGTGGTGTCTCTTCCAGCGGTTGCCTTGTAAAACTCAAACTCAGACTTTTTGGCCTATTTCTCACTTGCATCAGGGACTGAAGCGAGAGATCCGGTTCCTGTACGTGCAGCCCACTGAGGCTCTCAAGAGGTCCGTGAGCAACAAAGGCTGAAAATGGACTATCTCGTGCCCCTGGCCTCATAGGCCAGTTGCAAATCAAATACCTGTACTTCCCGGAAGACCAGTGTGTGGATGTACGCTCTCGCAGCTGGTCTGCAGTCTCCATCCGGACTACGGAGTGTGCCCTGTAAAGTCAGGGTATATTTATTTGCTGCGAACAGCTGAGGATTAATAAAAAATTTGAACACCACAGTATTTTGAATTTGTGAAGTTTATTGTAGGCTCCGTATCATATTTACTACTCATGCGAGGTGGTGTCACGCACCGCCTCATAGCTGAGCCTGCGCTTGAGCGAGGGGCAAGTGCTACTGTAAAACCTGCGTAGTGCAGCTCCGAAAGGGGCTTAAAACCCCTGTCTCTGTCAAATTAATGTGGTGCTGGCAGTGAAAGGGAAGTGGATGTGGCTGTGGGGACGCTGTGCCGTGAGACAGGCTCAAAGAGCGGTGGGCCGAACTGGGCCCGATGGGTGGGAGGTGGGAAAATTGCTCAGGACAGGCAGTGCACGGGGGGAGTAGGAGGAGACGGTGCTAAAAAGCCTCCCTGAGCTGGGTTTCTTTGTCCAGGTATCAGTAGAGATGGTCCAGGGTCGAATGCCTCCCATCTAGGGAGGCAATAAATAAAGGAAGAGAATTTTGTAGTCCTCTCAGCCACTGGGCATGAAAACCAGGGAGGCTGGACCCCAAGGGCACAGGATGCCCCTTCCCTCCTGCCCCGCGGGAGCCGCAGGAGTGGTGGTTGGAGTGGCTTTGTCCCTCAGTGCTGCGGGGACTGGGCAGCACAACCTTCAACTGACACAATAACCAAAGCGGCCAAGGGAAGGAGTGATCTCCCAGCGTTTATTTGAGCCACGGGAGTTTGGAGTGAGACCAGCTCAGGATATGAACCAAACAGGCAAGTGCAAAACAGCAGACGGTGCACTGCGGTGAGGGCGCGTTGCTGTTGGTGAAGCAGAAGTCGGTTCCTGCAGTGAGACTGGTCGTCAAGAAGGTCCTTCACGGTCTGTAACTTGCGAGGAAGGTGGCTATGGCCATTGCTATCACTGCCACCAGGAGAGGGATCCAGTGACCGCGCTGTCTCTGCAAAGAGAAGCAAGTGTTTCTAGTAAATCGGTGGGGAAAAGGAACTTCTCATCTCATCCCTAGCAAACATGTCATTCATCTTTCCGCACTGCACAAATAAATGGGGGAATTTTTCCCAGACCGATCGGCAGCCTCAGTCCGAAAGCACTGGGAGGGAGTCAGGGCGAAGAATGCCTCCCACCTTTGCCTGCTTGCTCTGGAAGTGGTTGAGCTCGTCCCGGCACTGGCGCAGCCTGGTCAGGCAGGAGCGGTACTCCTCGCTCAGGGCCTCCAGCTCCGAGCGCAGCTCCGTGCACTGCAAGCAGAGCGAGGGGCTGTTAGCAGGAGGGATCCCCTCACTCTTGTACACAGCGAGAGTGGCAGGGCTCCCGCAGCGGCTGCAGCGCTTCGCCCATGCACGGGCACTGCAGTGGCGGGGGATTTTCACTTCTGCTACCTGTATGCCCATATATACCTATAGGGGACAGAGTAGATCTCAGTGTTACCGGGAAAGTGGTGATAGAGGCAATGCCCGGTCGGTTACCATCCCGTGACCTGCTTGGCTTTGCTGCCATCTTTCACATCACATGGGAGAAAGAAGCAATAGTTATTTTTATGACCACAGAAGTGTGCAGGTCAGGAAGAAGACATGGAGTGCAAACTCGTGGCAGGGTTTGCCTCTCATTCTGAATTCAGCCTGCATTTCACTGACTGTGAGAGCAGTTGCAGAGTCCTTTAAACCCTCTGAGACATGGAACACACAGGACAGGTGCCTTTGTTGCGTTGTGCAACCCCAAAACCCAGGGAGCGTCTTTGGTCCAAACGGCCACGCAGCATGGGACCCGGCTGCCTTCCCGGTGAGCAGTGCGTTAGCAGCAGCAGCTGTGGAAGGAGGCTGCTTGCACCGAGAGGCTGCAAGAGCTGCCGCGGGGGCAGCTGGGCCCCCCCCAGCTGTTCCCTTTTGCTGTGATTGTGCTTTACAAAACCCTTCCCCAGGTGATGCTGGGTAATGCCTGGTGCTGCACTCACCAGCGTGGGTCAGTAGGACAAGTTGTTCTTCTGCGTGGCTCTAAGCTCTGCTACAGTAAGTTATAAATTTATAAATTCTTTCTTATAAATCTTTGCTATCTGAGTACTGCTGTAAGAACTATGGGGCTGTTGGCTGGCAGAGGACACGGCACAGTTTGTGCTACCAGGCTTGTGTCCTCAAACAGTCTTTTAGATGGGAAAGTGCATGTAAGAGGTCAGAAAGCTTTGAAGTTTTTTGCAGCCCAGTTGTAAGGGCATTGCTTTTGTTAGCAGACCCTTCCTGTTATTTGCAAGCCTTTCTTCCTCCTCTCCTTCCTTTGCGCTCAGGGCTTCAGCTCTTAAAGTGTGGCTTTGGCTTTTCCCTGTGAGACTGTTGAGACTCTCCTGCCTGTGAGAGCAGAAATGGGTTTGTATGGAGAGGCCTCTGCTGCTGCAGCCCCGGGTGCCAGGCTGCTGGTGCTCTGCCTTTGCATGTGGACACTGCATCTGGGGTTTAGCTGAGGCTGGTATCAGGATAAAAATTCAGCAGAGATAATCCTTACAGGAGATACCAACCTCAGGTTACTTCCACGAGCTTTGGTGCGTTGTGTTGTGCTGCTGCTGGAGCGCTTACACCAGCAGCTCGCTCCCCAGAAGGGAACTTGGTCCCAGCTGTGATTCAGTGACTGCCTCACCTCGTTCTCCTTTGCTGTAAGCTGGGATGTCCTTTTCTGCATCTCATCCTTCAGACTTTCTTCTCCCTCCTCCTCCTCGGGGTGCTCTAACAGAGCATTTTGTTTTTCCTTGGCAGGAGTGAGAGGTGGGGTCTGTGTGGTGAAAACCTGGTCTAGAAAACAGTCAGGCTTCTGATGAGAAACAGGTGTAGGCTTTCAGTTTGCTTTAGATCTCGTTTACTCAGCACAGTTTAAAGATAATATTTGTGTGCTATGCACACAGCAGAGGACACAGGAGCTGAATTAGTTATCATGGGCCTGCCTCTGCTGTAGCTACAAGTTAATCATCTTTAGAGGAATATTTATAATTAGTTGCCAGAAATGGAAGGGAGGGAGAGTTAAAATGCCTTTTATTACTTTTTTTTTTCAAGTACAACTGTAGCTGCAATTATAAACTGGAATGTATTTTGCTTGGGAAAGAAATGGCATAGCCACTGAAGTAGAATTTGCAATGAAATCCATTTATTTTTTTAAAGTGTTTGCCATCATAAATACACTTACATTTAATGTTAACTAGCAAAATATAATAACTCGCTTTGTGCAGCTTTAAAGTAATCCTTTATTCTAAACCAATGTAGGCTTCTCTTAGAGTCAGGTCTAACGTTCCTGTATCCAGTGAGAGGAGTGCTAGGTGGGAGTTACAAAGTTTGCTGACCTTTCCTTTGCACTGTTGCCTCCTGGGTCTTCTGTTCGTTGGTCTGGTTCTGTATCAAGTCTGTGAAGGTGAAAAGCTGCTGTTATCGTCCACAGCGCTAACGCAGATCTCTTACTTTGCACTTCTTTGTGTTACTTACTGTGCAAATGGCTGACTGTTGCCTCCAGCGTTACCTTCTGATTTTGTTCTTTTTGCAACTTATCTGAAATAACGATAAGAAGAAAATCAAGGTTGATGTAAGTCTCTGTATCTTTACGCGAGGATGGCAACTTTCCCTTTCTCCACATGCATTAAGTGGAGTGGATATTGTTGGCTACACTGAACTTTCTTCTCTGAAGATCAGATATTGAGCTGTTAACCGCCCTTTCAGTTTTGGTAGCTTTTTCTAGTGTGCCTTACATTCTATTAATTTATGGTTTATTTTAAAGCTGTTTGTGTGAGAACTGTTATGAAAATAGAACTGCCACCCATTTACTCTTCCTTAATTGTGTTTTAAAATAGCCATACGAGTGATGTGTGAGTTTCCTTGCTTCTATCTGAATTGGTACTTTAAGATGCTATTAGCTCATATTTATATGCTGGTAATATCCACCACCATGCAGCAGCACCTCAGACAGTAATGGGCGATGCCCTGCCACCCGTGCGGGCTTGCATTGCTGTGTTTGATGGGTCTGACAAGGATGCAAAGGTCCTCGTCAAAGCTGAGGATCAGCTTTGATTTTCTTTTTTTTCCCCCCAAGTCTCTCATTCCATCCTTTCTTCTAGAAAAGTCATTTCAATTCTCTGAAGTCCTTTAATCTGGTTGGAAACGACTTTAGGGGCCCTTTGGAAACCAGAGGCTTTCTCGGCAAGCACATTCAGAGAGTCTTTTGCGTGTGTGTGCGCTTGGCTTTAAGGACCAGGATTTTAAAACTATCTTCCTTCTATCCTCTGTTCATTTGAAGGACAGACGCCCCCACCGTTCCCCTGCACACGATACCTTCGATGGCGCTGATGTGCTCTGCCTTCAGGTCGTTGTCCTCCTGCAAGGCGCTGGCTCGCTGGTGGAGCGCGGCGTGCTCGCTCTGCAGGCTGTGCAGGGCCTGGTGGAGCTGCTCGTTCTGTGCGTCCGCTCGCTGGGGGCAAGAAGAGCCCCGGCATCAGCCCAGCCCTGGCACCATGCCGTGGGCAGCCCGTGAGCACGCAGCGTCGGCCAGCTTTCTGGCAACGAAAGGCAGCCCCGAGCTGAGAACTAGGTTGCAGGTGTAACTGCTGTGCTTCCTTGAACAGGATTTATTATACAGTGATCTCAGCCCAGGGTGAGATTCCCTGCTTGCAAATTGGAAAGCACGAACTCCCGTGGATGCTGTTCCTGCGGAGAACTAACGTACCTGCAGTTCGCTTTGCAAAATGTGGAAGCTGTTCTCGAGCTCAGTGTGTGCTGTGGTCATCTTGGTCAATTCAGCTTTGAGTGTGGTATAGTGCTCTTTCCAGAAAGCAAGGTCCTCTCTTGTCACTGCCAGGCTTCTCTGTGGAGGAGACAAGGACCCACGGGTGGGCTGTGACCCACCACCCGGCAGGACTGTGCCAGGCTGCCCTGAACAGCATCCACGGGCACTCACATCAGCTGGCCTGTGCATGGGGCTGGGGCAGCGCTGCCGCCTCCTGGGTCAGGGTTATAATAACCCGTGTGGGTCTGATGCCATCTGATGGACAGAGCAAACACGGGCAGAGGGTTGGCTGTGGAACCCGAGTTCCTCTGCTGCCGGGAGGATTTAGAAGCATGGTAGTATTTGGGATAAGACTGACTTGTTTTGGTGAAAATACCAGTTATCCTGTGGGTCAAAGCAAATTGCTACCTCCTGGGGAAAACCCATTTTCATATAAAAGAGGAACTCCAGAAAAAGCGTCTCTGGAGACCTCATGGCCTGGATGTCGCTGTGTGTGGCTGTTGCTCTGTGCATGCAGAGAAGGGAATGGGAAGAAGGGATGGTGGAGGAGAAGGGGTTACATTTAAAACTGCCACACAGTTGGGGAAACATACTGCTGTGCTGTTTTTAATAACCTGATGTATGTCTCACAAAATGAGCACAGGTTGCCATGAAGCTGCTTTGGACTTTGCTTGGTAGCTAAAAAAAAAAGCTATTTTTGCATCTTTGTTACTGATGGTAAGCTAGTCATTGCCTTTCCCTGAAATGTGGGGGCTCTTTGTCACAGTTGGACTAGATTAAAGCAAAGCATGTGTAAAACATGTTGCTTACTTGAGAGTTTTGCAGCTGCTGCTCTGTTTGGAGTTTGTCCTCCAGCATCTTCTGAAGAGCCTCTTTTGCCTTCTGCTCATAGGTCTGCTTCTGGTCCTCCATCTCTATCAGGATCTTCTTCACACACTCCTTTGAGTAACTCTTCAAAGGAAGAATTAAAGTGCTTGAAGGGTCTTCTCTTACATATTCCTAATCTTGCTAAGCCTGAATATTAGCAAATCCAGAGTGTGTAAATGCTACTGCTAATTTGCTGTGAAGCATTGCTTCAGCAAAGAGGAAAAATTGTTTTCAGATCCGTATCTAATCAGATTGCTCTAGAAACTGAGACCCGACCTAATTACGTGATTTGGTATTTTGTTTTCATGCCTTTCTTCACCCATGTTTGTTTCTCAGCAATCAGACATTACCTGGGTGCAGGCCTGCAGCTGATTTTCAAGTGCCCTTAGTTTACACTTCAGTTTATCTTCATTCAGCTGACCCTGGGGAAAAAACCAATTAAACTGATGTGTGGAATCATGAACTATACAATATGCCTCCAATGTTTTGTTAGCTTCTGTTTTGATTCACTTTCTCCCTTTTCATTTGTAATATTGTGCCTAAATTTGGTTAAAGTCTTTTCAATGCTCACAGAGTTCAAATAAGCCATTCACAATCTCAGAATAAATGGGATATGGGGGAAGACTCTTAATACATTGAAAAACTCTCCTGAGGCAGTTCCACTGGTTACTGAGTGCAGGTACTTGCAGGGAGATGAGAAGTTAAGAGCAAGGAGATTTCAGGTTAGTCTGGATGGGTCTGGCAGAAGCATAGCTGCCGCCTGTGCACAGCCCTGTTCGCTGGCTGGTGGTTCCTCCCTGCAATGCTCCTTGCCTAAAGCTCCAGCTGGTACTAAGGTCTTGTCTTGCTGGTTCCCTTAGGAAATCGGTTGGGTCTGCATTGCAACACCTAGCAGCTGGGCAGGGGGATAAGAGGGCAACAGTGATGATTCATTTTCCTTATAATCTCCTCTCAGTGTTAGTCAGGCTTCTTTAGTTTTGTGAAACCAGACTGCATGCAAATTCAGATAAAATTTCTAGTAAAGAGATCACGTAGGCTGTTTTTCCACCACCACTGAGAACGCCTGTAACCGCTTTGCTTACTGCTGTTTGAAGTCAAGCCTCTGAAAAAGCAACTCCTTGATGTTACAGGAATAGCTGTTAGACCCAAGCAAAACCAGATTCTCTGGTGTCTTAGCACTGTTTAAATTTGCACAAAAGTAAGTTTACAGTCCCAAAGAATAAACCTTCCCAGTTGTTGGTACAAAATACTAAAGACTCTTAGAAAGTAGGTGAAATTTTGAAAAGCATTTTTGTATGTGAAATACTATGCCTAGTTTTCCTCTGCAGTTTATTTTATTCTGCTGTCTGCAAAGGCTCACGTTAGAGGGTGGTGGTGGTGTTATGGCTGTTGTGCACAGAGGAAAATGACTGTGCAAAGTACAAGGCAACAGAGCACCAGGCCCTTCGTGTGCTTGAGAGCAGAAATGTGCTGGCAAACTCCTTTCATGGAGATGCAGCTTATAAATTGGCAAAAGAACATAGAGTATAAAGACTTCCCTAAACGGAATACCCTGTCTGTTAGGGCTGTTACCAGAACAGCACGGCAGTGAGGGGTGAGTAAGCATGTGCACATATATGGGAGGGCGTAAGGAATTATGCTTCTGACCAGAAAAGTTATGTGAGCAAATCTGAGTCAAGCCCTTGTGTTGAAGATTATCTACGTGAAAGGGGCTGCTTTAAAAAAAAAAAAAAACAAAAACACCCCCCCCAATAAACAAAACAACAACAAAAAACCCCTATAGCCACTATCATCAGGTAGTGGTTGGTTTTCCCCTTTTCTGCAGTGTCTCTGGTGACACGGTTTGAACACCGCCTGGGGATCCTTGCACTGTGCCTTGCTAGAGAGCCCAGAGACACCTACTGAAAGCCAGGCAGAGGAGAGGATTAGGGCTAAGATGTCCAAAATACGCCATCTTGCAAATACCATATTTGAATCCTCTGTAGCCCTCGTCTTCAGAAAGTCTGAGGTTACCTGAACAGGCAGCGCCAAAAGCTTTTTCAAACTCTTCTGTATTTCTCTACTGCTGTCACTTAAGTGCACGTGTGTGTGCACATACACATAAGTGCTGTGTATGTGCTTAAGCATGTTAAACTGTTTTTGGCTGACAGCTGTAGTGTTTTGGTTTTCCTGTGATCGGCGAATTCTTTGATAAGCCTTCCCTTAGTCATTTTAAATAGCTGGTTAAAGCAGTAATAATAAATGCTGTTTCTGGAAGGCTTCCAGTTTGCCCAGACACAATCTTTGCGCTAGAAAAATGGGTCCATATAGTAGTAGTAGTAATGTGCTGGAAATGGCAAAGATCTTAAACTCTGCAGAGCTGCAAGGTACTTCCAAACAACTTCAGAGGTCAGGAAGGGAAGAAAATACATTAAGGTAGCAATTTTCTTCTTTAAGAAGAGAACAGCTTGAAACTAATTACTCTTAATAATCGTAACTGAGGCTTACTTAGCTTCCTTCATCTGGCAGCATTTTTGAATCAACTAAGCAAGTTTTACAAGAGATGGGGGATTTAAGGTACAGACCTGTGGTAGGAAGGTGTCTCTAACCTAGAAGTAAAATTGTGGGAGGGGGAAGGAATCAAATGCTTTATCCCTTCAGTTTAACTACACCCTATCCTCCTGTGGAGTATTTCCTTGCTCCATCAAACCAGAAGCACCCACAAACACGAGCAGCATCTCAAAAATGACTCTGTCTATTTCAGGAATCGCTACCAGATCATTCAAGTGTATGCAATCACATTTCTTTGAGACCCAAAATATTGGAAAGGATTAAAAAGCCTCAGCAACAAGCACTTGGCATCTCACCTGGGCCTGGAAATGAGCAACCAACCATCAGTTTCCACGGCACAGCATTATTGTACAGACCTGTCTGTACCTCCCTTTGCCAGCACCTCCCAGAGAAGCCCCTTGCCCCCCGTCTGCCTCCCTCCGCGCAGCTTCCAGGGGATCCCCTCCAAGCAGGCAGCATCTGCCCTGTTTGCCCCGTTGGCTCCAGTGCCAGCAGCGAGTTAATTTTTAGTCCGAATAAAGGCTGAATGCGAGAGGCAGCAGCAAAGTCTGTCTTCTGTAGCAGAGATAGCAAGAAGCAAAGTGCACCCACCTGTTTCTAAGCTGAGGTTTCATGGCTACTTCCTGCAGAGTGTGTCAGGGTGTTTTTTTCCTGCTCATATTATATTTGAAGAAGCGAGCGCAGGCGGAAGTTTCTAACCGCAGTACATCTAACACAAGTTTTTTACACCTTTGCACCCAATCACTTTTCTGCCCCAACAGAACTTTCAAACCACTTTTTTAATGGCACAATGAACTGTAAATCTATATTTCTGTTAATAATCCTATATAAAAGACTTCATGTGTACATAAAATGCATCACCTCAATTTTACCTCCTGAGAGCAAAAAAAATGGGCTCTGGTTTTCAGTGCTGCCTGGAGGATTTTGTTTGAGCTGTGGGGAAATAGCTTGATGCAGGGCCACGATTGAGCAGAGCACCTAAGGCTAAGCAGGTGTGCCAGAGCATCGTGGTATTGGGTCCCCTGACCTGTGTTTGGGGCCCAGAATACATCCCTGAAAGGAACCGGGGGGGGGGGTGTCCCCACGGGTCCTAGCGAGGAACAGACTGGGTGGCCTGGAGCTCGGCAGGAAGGCTGTGTGCACTGGGTGGGTTTTTTTAGCAGTTGTGTTCCAGGTTAAGAAACAGTCTGTCTTTTCCCCCATCCAATGTGGTGTTCACCAGCACTTGGATGCACCAGTTCGGTGCATCTAAAATTTTTATTTTGGCAAAAAAAAAAAAGAAAGAACTGGTTCAAAATATTTGAAACTTGCCTTGACTAGGAAAGAAAACTTGGTGGAAGATGGTAGTTTGGGTTCATTCATTTTTTTTCCCCACTTGTACACTTCTGTTTGCTTTTTATTTAAGAAAAAGTGGGAAAGGCAAGTATAAAAAAAAAAAAAAACAACCAAAACCTTACAGAAGAAAAGTGTTTTACACTTCCTGTTGATCTGAAAGTAAGGTACATTTTGTAACAGTCTTTTGGGGGACAAAAGGGGAAAAACTTCAAGGAAAGTAGCCCCCTAACTTCTCAGTTTGTGTTCAACCGTCCCTAAGAAGAAAGGTGACAGCAAGGAAAGAGGCAGGGCAAGCAGCTACTTGCAGGTGAACAGTTCTGCATGATGTCTTGTCTGCTAGGTGACGGCGTTGCATTTTAAACCTGTAACATCTCCATGCCTGTAAAGCACTGAAGCCAGGCAGAGCTAGAACAGCTCCGGGAAAGAAAGGGAGACCCGTGGGGTGCTCTTGCTTCTGCACCCAAGCCCAGTCCCACTGAGGCAAGACCTCCCCCCAGCCCAGCTGGAATCGCCTTGTGCAGCTCCCTGGTACCTGCCAGGATTTTTCTGATGCTTGCAGCAGCGTGGAGAAAAGCTCCTGCAAAATCACCATCTTCTGCTTGAGCAGCAGCTCGCGGTGTAGGGCCTCCTGCGGGGAAGGGGAGAACTGGTCAGCAGGGACCCCCAGAGCCGGTGGGGACAGCCCAGCTCACCCCTCCAGCTCAGGGTCGGGGCTTCCTCCACTTGGGGGGTTTCAGTCAGGTCTTTGGGTTCAGTGGCTTGTCTGTAGGCTTTCTTGGCCACGTTAAAATTGGGTATGTAACACCTCTTTATTTAATAATAATTATAATTAAAAAATATTGTTGTACTGACTGAAGACCTGCTTTCCCTGTGGGTACGTACAATATTTGGTACCTACCTTCAGGTAGTTGGACAGCTGCACCATTTCCTGAAAGGGAAAGGGCAAATGTTCAAAAACAGTAAGATTGTTTCAGTTTATAAAAACTTTATGAACTGGCTACAAAATCCAAATATTTTAAAATAAAACTGAAGTTAACAGCCTGACTCTGGGCGGAGGAGGACAGCCTGCTGGGCTTCGTTTGTTTGGCTTTTCCAGGGAAGTGAAAATATTTTCTGCAGCAACTTACATTGGAGTTACGGCATCTTTGCCATGTAGTGTATTAAATCAGGGCAGTTACTGAATGAGAACAGTAGATATCCATGGGACAGAAGTGCCTTTCTCTCCTATAGGAGCAGTGTCGTCATTTTTGAAACTACAGAAATTTAGCAAAAGTCCATGTCCTGGTCAGAAATTCTAGGAACTTACTTCTTTTGCAGGAGTTCAAGGCTGGTTATTATCTGTGTTTTGCTTACCTTATTTAAAACTGCTATTCCACAACTAAAATAAAAAAGAAAGTGTGTTACTGAGGTGAGTGCGATGCGGGGGTCTGCAGCAATCCATGGCCCTGGACACCAGCCGCTCCCCACCAGCCCAAGCAGAGTGTGGGTATTTGTACAGCAAAAGCTTGTGCCGAGGTGAAACTCGTTTGGGCTTGGGCGTCAGAGGCTGCTGCCCTGCGGGTATCTGAATTACAGCCCAGGGAGGAAGGGAGGGGAGGACCGGCTTAGCTTACTCTGTCTGCTGACTCGAGCACTCCTGCACTTGGATTTGTAAGGGTCTGGGTTCCTGTGAAAGCAAAGTGAAAGGATGTGACGGATGCCCCCCCCCATCCCAGGGGCCATGAAGTTCTTCTGTTTGAGTGCCAATTTGGCTGTTCCAAAATGCATTGCAAAGCAAAGTGAAAGGATGTGACGGATGCCCCCCCCCATCCCAGGGGCCATGAAGTTCTTCTGTTTGAGTGTCCATCTTGGCTGTCTCAGATGGCATCGCTTCTAGGATGGAGAGCAGTTGTTTAAACAGCATCCAGTAACACAACTCAAGAGGGACCAGAGGCAAAGAAGAGCATGCTCTCAGAGAAGGGGAAGTTAAGTAATCCTACAGACTGGAGTCAGCCCCCAGATAACCTGGGGCACTTACAGGGTAGCCATAGGGCAGAGCATCTGCTCAGCAGCACTGGTTGTTAAGCCGTGGGCTGGTTTATTGCTCCACAGGAAAAAATATTCTTAACACCTGCAGTCTGCAGGGAAAACTCAGACTGGGACAGTAAAACTTAATCGCAGGCGTAGGGCTGCTGGCAAGGGAGCTTGGGTTAGAGGGGAGCTACCAGCTTGCATCCCGAACTGCTCGATGGAGACTTAGAGGTGGGAGGGAGACGTCACAGCTGCTGTTATGCTGGAAAACCCGAGCATCCTTCACCTACCTCGGGTGTTCACAGAGGCACCTCGCCTGGGGACAGCTTCTGCCAAAATGCTGAGGCTGAGCAGGGAGTGTGCAGGGGGGAATGTGGGGCAGCTCCGTGGGTGCTGGAACGAGAGGGCAGCTTGAGTCAGTGTCCTTCCAAAATAGGCTGTGAGGAATGGAGGGGAAGGGGCTGTGGCTGGGTCAGGCTTTGTCCCTGCAGTGACTGGGTGAAGAGCATCAAGGAGATGCCAAGAAACCATGGCAAATCCACGAGGATCTGCTGCTTTGGCTGCAGCAGCTCCAGGGCTCTGTGGGGAAGTGGGGAGAAACCTGCTGGCATTTGGGGGGGTACACCAGAACAGGACAAGGAATGC